ATGTCAACTGTGTACGACTATAAACATTACACTAGCTGACACTTCAGCCTTGTTGTAACGATGGCAAGCCAGGGTTACTTTTTTTAGGTTACAAGCCACAGTTGTAGTTTTCAAGTGAAAAAAAAAAAAAAAAACAAAACGGAGTGTATCTCTTCAGCTAGAATTATATCATGTTTAAACTTAAACCATTATTTGCATTAGTATATGCAGATAATATGTAAAAGACATGAATTCTTACGTCAATTATAATAAATAAAGATATTTTTTTCGACATTTCGTCCGTCTTTTCTTGTTTTGATACAAACATAAGGACGCGTTAAACACTATATTTATAGATGAGCGCACGGCACATTGGCATAAACTGCGTAATGCGCGCACGCATTCAAACGAGACTCGCTTACCAAACAGTCTTACTCACATCACGAACGTCTTAATGAGGGTCGACTTAGGTCAGCGTCGGTAACAACATCACAATATCGCTGTCCCGTTCCGTAGAAAAACGAGATAGCGATCTGGGTCATGTGCCCGCCACTTTAGGATACGCGTAGCAACGCATTCGACGATACACGCGTTTAATCCACGCGATATCAGCCGCAACGCGTACGTTTCAGTTTCGCGGAAGCAACAAAGGCCTACGAGTAATGTTAGATAACGCATGGAATGCTCTAATTGCGAGCGCGTAAACACCATAAAGCGTACGAGGAAACGTACCTAGCAAGGGGTACTTGTCCGTGTTTTTCCTTGTATACCGGACAAGCCGCTGTTTGCCGTCGCTATTATCGCGGTGTATCGTTTTGAATAATGCACATTACGGGGCACCGTTGACGTGGCACCTTTATTTGCCGTTGAGTAGAGAGTGATGTAACTACAAGTGTTTGTTTGCCGTCGCGTCCTTTGTTGGTCCGAGGTGGTCCGAGTGGGTCGATGTTGGGGGGGGACAGGGACTTGAATTTTTAAACGTCGCACCGTGGCGTTAACGAGGGTGCGCGCTGAGTACATTTCGCTGTCGCACTACGTGGGGTACGGCGAACTTACAATGTTGTTTTTTCCGCAGTGTCTGTGTAAACACACCCAAGGGGTACAGTTTGCATGTGAAATAAATGAGATTCCTTAGCTGGTAATTTTTCGCCGGCTTGCACTCACCCTTTGCGAGGATGAAAATTCTATGAAGAAGCATAAAAATTGAAACTCTTCCCGCCTATATAGCTAGCTATAAGTAGTAGTTTTTTTAATGAGAAAAAAAAGCTGGCAGGCGAGAACGCGGTTCACCTGATGCTGTGATCACCACCACCAATGGAAATATACAATACCTGAGAGTTGCCAAGGCGATGCAAACCATTAAAGAAGTGGCCACCGGCTATCTCACTTACCAGACGGGAAAGTATATATTTCCACTCCGCGCTGATTTTCTTTTGGGCCATAACACTTGTCCGGACGAGCCTGCCTAACCATGGAACCGTAGAAGCTGCCGAGCAGTACCACAGTGAAGTATGGTACTGCTATGCATATTTTAATAACAAACTATGGTTAACGTTTAAAACTTCGCACTCGTGACGAGTACATTTTCCGCAATGTGAAAAGTTTGAAAAGGGAGCAAAAGAATAGGTTGAAATGTTTATTTCGCGCTCTCCGATGAGGTGAATATGCCACTTTGAATTTATAGCGACAATTTAATTGCTTGGGGAGTCCCGGGCGCGCTCCCTAATTGAAAAACGTCGCATGGTTATACATCTGTTAATTAATATAAGATTTACGAACAACAGAGATAATTTTAAAAATCCCGACTTCATATTTTGTCTTATAAATTATGTCATTTATTGATGTATTTATAGTAAATTTAACTGTCCACAAATGCAATTCTCCTTAAAGTTGAAAATAAAATCCGAGACTCAAGAAAGCGCAGGTCGAAACTAGAAACTTTCAGCAAATGACTACTTAATTAAATTTATTAGAGATTATTATTGATAATCAATAATCAAAGAGCATATTTTTGATAATCTTTTTTTCATTTTTTTTTAGTTACTGCTCAATAGAGATCGACGATTATAGCACGCAGTGGACAAAACATGTATCAATTATGGCCATTAGCACTTGTTTATTGTGCACGTATTACAACCTTACGATTTTTGAGTGTAAAGTTGACGTGGTTTTACTTTACATCTACTGGAAAGGGGCAAATTTATTTAAAAAAAAAAAACACATACACTACAGCAAAGTCGACGCGACACATGCACGCTGTCAATTTACGTGCACGTGGCGTGACGAGAAAAGCATTCGCTTCGAATATGGAACCTCCTCCCGCTTTTTACAGGTCATTTAAAAGCAAACAGCCAGTCTGTCGCGGGGATCATCGCGTGACGCATACAATTTGAGGGGAACGGCGCGCCGTAGCCCGCCGTCGGGTCATATATACATATATGTATTCGCGGACACACTTTCGCAATTATCCACTCGACTAACGATCAATAATAACGATTGACCATTAAGTACTTTTTGTGATTACGTGAATACCACTATGAATGCTGTAAGGTTTTCGAAAAAAAGCAAAACTGGGCTCAAAGGCCTCCTGTACAGTGTATTTGGGCTGACTTTAAATGTCTTCGAAATATGCAAGTTTCATAAAACCCTTAAAATAGTTTCCATTACCGATTGCTCGGCTAGGTTTGTTAGCGGCCAGAGGCTGTATATTACCTTTCCTTCATTTAATTGCAAGATGTACAGATAGACTCGAGTTTCCGAAATTGACTGATACACGTGTCTCTTTAATCAGAAATGTGACTGCGTACTTCGATGAAACTTTCGAACATCTGTCGAACCGTTGGAAAACCTCAAGTAAAATTTTATAAATTTAATTACCACTCTCTCAACGACGAGTGTATAGCACAAAAACATTAATTAGCTGCTGCAGGTCTCGTTTAATACATTAAACTTTTTTATTTACATAAATACGTGTTTACTTTACCGCTATTTACCCTCGATATATACGATTCATGCGATATATTCAACATCATCATCGAATGTATATATATTATGACACATTACTAAATGAAACTATCGTTTAAGAGTTATCAGTGAATGACACTTACAAGAGTTTTATTCAAAAGAAAACCATGCGCATTTTCATTTTTATTCAAGATTACGAAATTAAGATTTAAAAAACAAATCTAATAATTAATCCACATGTATAGAAAATAATTGAATTATATAAATGTATATAAAAGTATAAAAAAAATATTAAAATTATTAACAGTCTCAAAACTAATCAACAAACAAACTACGCGTCTCATTTCGTTTAGAAATAAATAAACATTTACTAGTATTACTTATTAAAAAATTCACCTGGCTTAAGTTATTCAAAGTCACATTGCTAACGGGTTACCGTTCCAGAAATGAGGTCCGCGAATCGCCCGGACAAATAAATGTATTCCAATTTCCCCACCTTATCAACTAACCGCCTTACCTGTCCGGACGGAGTTTCTTCGTAATTGCTACACTGACCGCGCAGCCGCGGTCATCGCAAAGTTCATCTATCATACAAACAATCGTTGTTACTTGTGCTACGCCTTGTACAATATCGAGCTATTCATCTGATCGGCGCGGCGGGGCCTGTTAATTTAAATTGCCAGGCTAGCACCGCGTTATTTATTATTCTATTAACGGAACTAATGCCTCTCCTGAGGGTCTCACTAAGGGTTTCATATTGAAAATCATGCGCTATTAACAATTTAGAGACTAGTATAAATACGAATATAATAAAGGTAGTCTGTATATTCCCATTGTTGTGCGAATGTCTTTTTACAGAATGTCTTTATACAAGGCACAATAACGAAAAGAAAAATAAGCAATGAAATGATTTGATCACGTTGAAACTAATTTGTCAAATAGGTACCTCTTATAAACCACACATTGTATAGTTTGTAAATCATTATTTGAAATTTCTACAAAATCGAGATTTGAACTAATGAATGATTTGAAGTTTCTCGTGCAAGAATTCAGAATTGAGCGCCGGGACAACTGACCTGCCGTTGGCGATGTTCTGTCAGTTAAAGTTACTAGTTTCAGATAAAACAAGCGTACGCTTACGCCCGGTTTCTGAAACACCGATCATCGTAGATGTCAATTAATCAGCTGTCAAATACCTTTTCAAATTTCATTTTGGCTGCCAAAAGGATGGTTAAACTATCTGTATTGACCAGAATGATCTTCTTAATGATCAGAATGATCAATTCAAAATGCAGAGCCGTGTTAACTCAGTGTCCGGGCGCTCGCCTTTAATTTTAATTACATTTACTCGAGCAACCTGAGTTCGATCGCCGGTGCCAGCACCAATCGAATTGTTAATTTTAAATGCTGAATTATCATGTGCTCGGCGGTAAACATCGTGAGGAAACCTGAATATTATATGTGAAGTCCGCCAATCCTCAGTAGGGTCGCGTGGTGGACCATGCCCTAATACCCTCTTTACAGAGGAGGCCTTTGCCCAGCAGTGAGACATTTATAGGTGTTACTTTTTTATACGATAGAAACGTACCCATTGGCACTACCGTCAATCGCACTTACGCAAGGTCTTAAACAAATCTGCGTGCACGCCATTCTTTGTTTCCGTACTGGACCGTGTAATGTTCAATTGACTTGGCATCGCGTGATTGCTACAGTTGTGTAACGTCGAATTAGGTGTTTTATAACAGAGTCGAGCGCAAAAACTGACGCGACATGATTCGCGTCTGCATACAACAACGCAACTCGACGTTTGTGCATACAGACCTTCATTAATCTTCACTTATATAAGTTTCAGTGATTAGATCGGTTCTGATATTGAAAATCAATTTTATGGGTGATGAGATTTAGCCTAGTTATTGCTAATGACAGTTTCAACCAATTTTAAAGGCTCGAGATAAATGTATCGGTGAAAGACAAAAAGAGTTGAGAGAGTAACAAAACAGCAAGTTTATTCAATCCGAAACAAAAATTCTATACAAATGTAAAACGAACGGGATTGGATGTATTCGAAACGAAGGGAAACTACGGCCCCACACAACGCGGAGGGCCGGGCCTTATCAACCCCGGTTAGTGCACGAGTCTGCGTTCTATGAAGCCTACCGAAGTCTACAGACAGAAAGACAAATCCGAAGATGAATCAGTAGTGGAGTCGCGTGGTGGACTTTGCCCTAATACCCTCTGTACAGTGAAGGCCAGTGGGACATGAACAAGATGTCCCTTAAAAACACAAACACCCGCAGAAACGCCGTACCTTCGCGAGTTGTACGTCTTTTTTTCTTTTATGTGAAATGTTGCCAAGCGAGCTGGCGGTTCAATCGATGTTAAGTGAATACCGCCGCCCATGGACATCTGCTACACCCGAGGGTTGCTGACGCGTTGACAACCTTTTGAAAATTGGGCTCCGGCCACCTCACTCACCAGACGAAACGCGAAAGTATTATACTTGCACTTCACGCCGGTCTTCCGTGAGGTCATGGTACTTACCCATTCGTGCAACAGCCGAGGCTGCTGCGTGGCCCTACCACAGTTAGATACGACGCGAGTAGTTCGGTGCATGCGGCACGGGTGCCTGCGAGCGAAATCGATAAGGCCAGCGCTATAGAGCGGCGGCGGGAATTCCGAAGCTCGCAGCGCGTCGCCTTGACATCGAATGGCGCGCGAGACAATCGCCGCTTGCGACACGACGCGGCGAGTTCCCGGGCCGACGAGCTTTCCGCAACTCGCCACCTTCTTGGGCAAGCGAACGGTTACAATGTCGACCGCGTTATGAATCGACAAATGTGGTAGAGCCGCAGCTCCTTGGGGAACTGTGAGCCACGCAGAAGACCGGCATACAGAGGAAGGATATCGATGTAAGACAACTAATTTGTTGTAACTTGACCAAACGAGAATTCAAATTCAACATAGGAGCATTACACTCACTTATTGATAGTCAAACGCGCAAAATCGGTGAAGGTCACAGCGGGGTCACTTCTTTTTTAATATTTTTTGATAGTTTTACGTTGTGTGCTATGAATATATTAAATACAATATAAAAAGTCCGATTGAAAGAACCTGGAGCGAGAATTTCCAGAGTGTATCATTTAAATTAAAAAATTTGATATTAATGACACACAAATATAATTTGACAATTTTTATCTAGTCATAATCAAATAAGATAGCGGTAAATGTTATGAAATTTATTAGCTTACGGTTTATAAATTTGATATTGTTTTTTTTTTTTGTATTTAAATATAGTTTTGCTCTGCTGAAATTGTGGAATACAGAAAATTGGGTATAGTTGATAACAGACCGACTTCTGTATTCACTTATGCAGTACGTCTATCGAGAGTTTAGGTGCACCGTCTTATAGATTGGCAACGTCACTGTAAATCCACAGGCGTTTTTTACAGGCAGTAGTAATCACTGCACCTATAGGTGAACCGCGGCCGGCTCAACAGCTGCCAAAAAAGAAACTAGGGGCTGAACGATGCCCATTTTAGCTAGATGCATATTTTTTTTTTAATTTTCTCAAAAACCATTGCCCATACTATAGACGATAACATTCAGATCAGAGGATCAACAGAGGATCTGTTGTAAGGATATTTTACAAACATAAATTTCACGCGGCCAAACACCCAGATGCGAAACAACTATCCGTGGGTCACACACAAATAGTTTTCCCGTGTGGGAGTCGAACCCACGACCCCCGACGCTGAAGCCAATACCTTGGCAACTGCGCCAAGGAGTCATCATTCGTTATGCCCTACAATTCACGCGAGGCTGTAGCTAATTCGCGGACCCGATAAATTCTCATTTCTCTCGGAGTGAACGCCGCTTGTCTCTCCGTCTGGTGCTGTGTTGGCCTACACGCTGTTTGAATTATAAACTCTCGGGCTATTTGTAACATCCATGTCCACGCATGATTATGCACACGCATTGTAAATAAAATACATTTCAATGTACGTGCATCTTGTGGGGAGGAAAATTCTTTTAATATATCATTTTATCGCCTTTGATTTGTCTTTAAATTTCAAACGTTACGTACCGACGGTCTGTCAAGAGAGCGAAATGAAACCGAAGAAGTAATGGGGAAATGACCAGTGGAGAAACGAAATCTGTTACTTTTCTTTAACTGGAAAATACACGCATTTAGGATGAAATCTTTTAAAACCGTGTAAAGTATAAATTTTTCATTTTCGATGTCACGGCAACAATCGACCTTAAATGCTTAAGCACTTCTGTGGCACATCCCGATGTTGATACGGAAAAAGTAAAGTCTATAAATATCCCACTGCTGGGCAAAGGCCTCCTCTGTTCAGAGGAACATACGTACACTGCGGATTGGCAGACTTAACATATCGTGAAAATATATTTTGTTATTATTTGGAAAATATGCAGGTTTCCTTAGGATTTTTTCATTCACCGTTGAGAACGTGATCATCACTTACGTGATAATCAGCACTTAAAATTAACAATTTCTTTGTTGCCGGCACCGGGGATCTAACCCGGGTTGCTCGAGTATATAAAATTAAAGGCGAGCGCCCGGACACTGAGCTATCACGGCTCAAGAAAGTGCATATTTTGAATTCCGGCTAACAGGAAAAGTGTAAGCGTAATTCATGAAAATAAAACTATAATATTATCCGATCGAGAAAAAAAAAACAAGAAGTGTGTTGTATTAGTAATTTCAACCCTATTTTATCTGTGCTCAACAACTATTCATGTAACACATTTTTTGTCTATGTCTCTCTTCTTCTTGAATCTCTATAATAAAACTACGTTCTACCATTAAAACTATATTTTCATTAATTACAACAGGTTATGGGCCCAGGCCACCTGAATATTGTCTATAAAGGTGAAAGTAATATAATTCCAAAGTTTTAAGATAAAAGTTCGTAGTTCTGGTACAATTAGTACAACCTAACCTCAAACTCCGCACGTGTTCTGGCAATTTAAATTCTTCTTCATCCGCAAAATGTCTTCAAATAATACGATGGCACTGATGGAAAAACTGACTGGAAGATAAAATTATGCAACGTGGCGATTTGCTATGCAGACTTACCTAGAACATGAAGATTTATGGAGTTGTGTCACCCGTAAAGAAAATGAAGTCGTTGATGCAAAGCTTGATACGAAGGCAAGATCAAAATTAATTCTTCTAGTGCATCCTGTCAATTATGTACACATCCAAGAAGCTAAAACAGCTAAAGATGTGTGGAATAATTTAGCTAAGGCTTTTAATGATAATGGTTTGACACGTCGGGTTGGGCTCCTGAGAGATCTGATAACCACGACCCTCGAAAACTGTCTAAATATTGAAGACTATGTTAACAAAATAATGAGCACCGCCCATAAATTGAGAAACATTGGTTTCAATGTTGACGATGAGTGGCTCGGGACCCTGTTACTAGCAGGTCTTCCGGATATATATCAACCCATGATAATGGCACTTGAGAGCTCTGGTGTGCAAATTACATCTGGTTCAGTAAAGACAAAGCTTCTTCAAGATATAAGAAACTCTGAGTCTAATGCGCTATATGTGAAAAGCAAAGTTAATCAGTTGCAATCTGGCAAACAAGTTCAAAATAAAGTCAAGTCCAAGGGTCCAAGGTGTTATGTGTGCAATAAATATGGTCACATCAGTAAAAATTGTCGCAACAAGAAGAAGGAACAAAAATCAAATGAGCAAACTGATTCTACCTATGTCACAGTGTTCTCCGCTACAACGAGCAATGACAGTAATTGGTATATAGATTCTGGAGCTTCAATGCATATGACAATGCACCGTGAATTGCTTTATGATGAGATTTCACCTCCGGTTACCACAATAAGAGTGGCTGATAACAAGAGATTAGTTGTTAAAGCATGTGGGAAAGTTAATCTTAATGTTGTGAACAAACAAGGCAGAATTGACACAATTAAGGTACAAAATGTTCTATATGTTCCTGAGCTGGCTACTAATCTCCTCTCTGTGAGTCAGATAATAAATAGTGGTTGTCAAGTTCAATTTGACAGTCAAGACTGTATAATTCTAAATAAAGATAATAAGCAAGTAGCAGCTGCTAAAGTTATAAACAATATGTACAGGTTAAATACATGTAGTATTCCAGCTTTTATATCTACATCAACAGAGAATGATTCTTTCTTGTGGCATCAGAGAATGGCGCATTTGAATTTTGAGGATTTAAAGAAATTATTGGAGAGTGCAAGAATCAAAACAAATAAGGCAGATAAAGTGATATGTGTTTCATGCTTGAAAGGAAAGCAGACGACGAGAATCCCGTTTCCTTCCGAAGGTTCTAGAGCACAAGCGAAACTAGGACTTGTTCATTCAGATGTCTGCGGAAAAATGGAAGTACCAAGTCTTGGGGGAGCTCATCACTTTGTTACCTTTGTTGATGACTTCACAAGGAAGGTGTTTGTTTACTTCATTAAAAACAAATCAGAAGTCTTCCAAAAATTTCAAGAATTTAAAGCCTTAGCTGAAAATCAACTTGATTCAAGAATAAAGATACTTCGCACTGACAACGGAAAAGAGTATCTGAGTAATGAATTTCAAGCTTTTCTAAAGAAGTCAGGTATCACTCACCAAACCTTCGCTCCCTACACACCACAGCAAAATGGTCTAGCGGAGAGAATGAACCGGACTTTGCTTGAAAGAGCTAGATGCATGCTTATAAATGCTAAACTTCAGAAACATTATTGGGCAGAAGCTGTGTCGACTGCTGCTTATGTCACAAATCGATGCCCAACAAAAGCTCTTGCATTTTTAACACCATAGGAGAAATGGAGTGGGAGAAAGCCAGACATTACTAATATGAAAATATTTGGTTGTGAAGCATTGGTGCATGTACCGAAAGAAAAAGCAAAGAAGTGGGACTCAAAGGCAAACAAAATGTTATTCATTGGTTATAGTGAACAGAGCAAAGGATACAGGTTCTTAGACCCTAAAACGAAAAACATTGTAATAAGCAGTGATGTGGTCTTTCTTGAAAGCTCGGTCAAAAGAGATTATTCTGTTGTACCACTTTCAGAGTCTGTCCCAGTGTCATGTTAAAGTGATGACAGCTCTAAAATACAGGAACCACGATGGAACAGTCTGAGACAACTGAAGACGACTTAAGTGAAGATTTTTACTCCAATGATGGGTCTCTGTATGAGCCTGATGTAACCATAGATTCATCTGAGTTAACAAATAATGTTACAACAAGATCTAAAGCAAGATTATGCAAGATGCAAGCCAATGAAGAAGTAGAAGCAAATACTTACAAATGTACCGATGAAATTATAAGAGAACGGGATGTTCTACTAACATATAGTGAAGCATTATCTTCTGATAACCCAAATGCTGCAAAATGTAAAGAATCCACAGAAGAGGAGCTAAAGGCACATGCAAAGAATAAAATATGGCAATTGATTGAAAAGCCTGAAGGAGTGAGGATAATTGGCTGCAAATGGGTCTTCAAAATAAAAGACGAGCCTTCTGGTCCACTCTACAAATCAAGATTGTGTGCCAAGGGATGTAGTCAAAAACAAGGCATTGACTACAAGGAGATATATGCCCCAACTGTAAGATATGATTCAGTACGTGTACTACTTTCAGAAGCAGCTCAACACAACTTGCATATTGTTCAGTTTGATGTCAAAACTGCATTTTTATATGGAGATGTAAAAGAAAATATTTACATGACGCCACCAGAGGGCTTGGAAGCTCCTGATAATATGGTTTGTAAACTTAACCGTTCAATTTATGGTCTTAAGCAAGCACCAAGGTGCTGGAACCAAAATTTGACAATTTGTTA